TCAACGGCACCGCCCAGCAAGCGAGGGCAGACATCGACGCGAGAGGCTTCTGCCAAGGCAAAACCCAAAGTCCGAGGTCCTGGCAGGAAACAGAAACCGCCGGTCCCCGATTTCAACGACGAAAGATTTGCTAATATCTTCGAGCCTCTTCGAAGGGAGATTTCTGAGTACACTTTAGTAAATGGCCTCCAGGATGCCTGGCGGGTGGTGGACGCCCTGCGATGGCCAGACCCTGAGGCCGCGCAGCTAGACAAGTCTCTCTCGAGGGTTCAGCGGCTGCAGTGGCAGTTACAGCGCTGTGATACACTGGAAACAAAGGATTATAGCTTGCCGACTTTGATGGTGATCCAGCGACGTTTCTATATGGTCCAGTTGATGGCCGAATACCGGAACGCGACTAGAGAAGAACATAATGGAGACGGAAGTGGCGTAATCGAAACGTTTCAAAGAGAAATGTTCCCTGAGCTGGGCTCGCAACAACGACAAAAAAGATGGGACTATTTTAATCGAACAGCAGAACCCCTCTTTCAAGCGGTGGAACGATACGGTTACGGCGTTCTCATCTTCCCGTTACGTAACGTGACGATGAAAAGGTATGTGCGCATCGAATTTCTTTCAAATGTAGACATTAAGGCGACCAGTTTGCAACGTCTTAGGCGTGAGTCTATCAGTGACCTTCTTGACTATATGAGAATTTGCCATCCAGCGGTAGACATTGTCCTGAACAATACATCAGTCCTCTTGGCAACGCTACTTACATGGGGCTTGCCGCCGGCTCGCATACCAATCTCCGGGGTTGCATATGAGGATCTGGTGGATAGCAAAGATAGCCCCTGTACTAACCTATTCATGCTGTCCGGGATTGCCGACTATGAGCCGCCGGTCGTTCTTGGAGAATTTCCCCCATGGCCGTATCCGCTGGCCGACAATGATTTCAAGGACGAGGCGCTTGTTCAAGAGGAGGGAAGCGGTACTGTTTGGCAAGTTAAAGCTGAAGACAACACGTTGTTGTTGTCACTGAAGGACTTGGCAATGTTTGATTGGGATACAGCTGCTGATGATCGCTTGCTATAAAAATTCTAGTGATTTCTGCACAACTGCATTTACCTGCCCTGTGCTGACAGATAGCTAATATGTAAAATAATATGCTTACCTGTGACGCGGTGATCGAAGCAGTCACAACCTAACTGGTTAGGTCGCCCGCTTTCTGCACTAAAGATAGAATACTACCCTTCACCTGGACAGCGTTCCTGCGAAGAACAGCAGCTTTTTCACGACGTGCTTGTACTGTACACCGGCACAGATAAACAACTTAATCATGTGTGCTGGCAGAATTATATGCTGGCAGAGCGCGGTGGCTGATGCCGAATGCTAAGCAGCAGTCCGAACATTGGCCCATGCAGTGTGTCCTTCCTCCACCAGTTATGCCCATGTATTTGGCAGAGAGTGGAGCAGACTTAGCTGAGCGACGCCTTCTATCAACATCTTCGTGCGCAATTCTTCGTGTGCAATTCTTCGTGCGCAATTCTTCGTACGCACAAGTTATGGTAAGTTTCCTTTCACAGTAAAAGCACAAACAGCTATATAATTAGGCAACGCTTAGCTCCGGCTCTTTTGCCAACATCCTCGTACGCAACTTGTCGCACGCAAATTATTGTACGCTGTTTTTTAACAGCTGAAGGCAGTCAATTTTATTTTTTACCTACTGAGCAACGCGATCTACCAAGATCCTCGTGTGCAACTCTTCGTACGCACATTTGTTCCCTTAAAAGCTGAAAGCACAGTAGCTTCCTTACTGCTAGGCTAGCTGTGGCTCTATCATCGACCAAGTTGTGAATAAGAACAAAAATATACTTACTAAGAATGTTGAATCGTTCTGAGAATAGGACGTAACGGCTACCGCAACAACTTGCCATCATTCGGCCATAAGACCCTGCCGCTGATTCCCTGAGGCTTGACCTAACCTTGGTAGCGGTATGGCGCTGGGATAACCTACAGGGACAGCAAATTACAGTTGGGTCATGCACCCCTCGCTTGACAGGTATCTAGAGGGAGAAAGCTGGGAAGTCTAGGGCGTTGGGGCTTCCTCAGTTAAGGAATACAACGACAGTTTTTGCTGAGTACCCTCGGGCACCTGCTTATGGGCCACCCCCCCTTTTGGGCCACCCCACCTTTTGGGCCACCTCTTCCCACCAAAAATTGCCAAAACACACCCTTTTTAAGTAGACTCTATTACCCCACTATAAGCAATAGATTTATATAAAAATGGTAATAAAATTATATAGAGCTTTATTTTTAGGGTTTTCTTTCTTATTATATAGTTATTAAATCTAAATAAGTATATATACTTAGTTAAACTTAAAAGAAACTTACTACTAGTAAATCTTATAGTTAATCTTAACTTTTTCTTTTTATATGACTATTTATAGATAAAGAATAACACTATATAATAAATATAATAGATTACTTCAGTTTTGAGATAATCTACCTTCCGAATTTTAGCTTATAACTAAAATCCTAATAATATTTTATAATTTAAAGGACCTTTTCTTTCCTTTTCTGCTCCTATTTTAGACCTACTTTTTGAATAACTTAAGAACTACTTAATAGTTAGCCCAGATATTCAGATATAAAATACTTATTTACATAAAATAATCTACTATAAAATTTTATAGTTAGAGTCAATATTTTTAAATCTTAAAAATTAATATTAAAGTGTTAAGGATTACTTATAATTTCCCAGGACAGCTTAACACTTTTTTCTACTAATTATCCCAATTTCTAGAAAATTATCTAGCTTATAAATTTTCTAAGAGAGAAAGTCTTATATATAAATTATCTAAATCCTATTTTTTTTCTTTTCAATTTATAGTACTTTTCTTACTCTTATTCTAGAAGGTTCTATTTTGGTGTAGCTACACCAAATAGGTGGCCCAAAAGGGGGGCTGGCCCGCAAGTGGGTCGTCGACGTTACCTGGGGTGCTGTTTTCTTAGTCAAGATCAATGGGTCTATTGACAGCATGCCTCTTTCGAATTTATCAGCAAATTACTGGAACCAACATATACTTCAAGATGCACCAATATGTTAATTGTAGTATTGTATTGTATTGTATTCTTTAACGTCTATATTCGGGCCCTAGTGTAGGCATTAGACGTGCCAATCAACTGTCTACAACCAACTCTGATCTAGCAAGGTAAAGTATGCCGGGCCAAGCAGAAACGGTACGCCAAGGTCGCCTACAAGCCCACCTTGGAGCCCGCAGCTAACCTCAGTGTAGCTACTGCAATGAGAAGGAGGTCGGAGACTGGCGAGCGACGATTGTTAACCTGACCCGTGCCACTACGATGGACTTTTTTCTCTTCGTCTGCGCAAACTACAACGTCCGGTCGTGGGGTACGTCAGAAGAGTATATTCGCCAATTCCAGCAGCTCTACACGACTGTTACAGGGCGTTACATGGATAGAAACGATGCGAAGGAAGTCTACAAGGTATCGAAACCCTGCGAGCTGGAGCACCCAATCATGATTGCTAACCGTAGCCTAGTACCACCGCAATGTTTTGATCCCTCGCTTCAATCTTCGAGCGCCGAACATCGACGGCAAGCCGGTCCTCAATGTCGACAGTG